ACACTGAAAAAAAAAACAATTTGAAATCAGCCAAAAAAACTGTACACTCAACTCCACCATCGCAAAGTTATTAAAAGTTAGCGAATCTCGTTAAATTTTCTTTTTTTATTGCTGCTTGCATTGTTGTTACTTTAATTGTCTGTCGTAAAACACACGCAAACATTCATTCAAACGTACATACGTACATTTGTGGCGATTGATATGCATGAAGTTGGTGTAACAAACGAATGGTGGGGGTGGACGCAGCCGCAACTGTGAAGCACTCTGATTGCACAAATGTTTGCATGTAGATATGTATGTACATAGTTCCGGCAACAGGCCAATAGAGGAGATGGAGTTGGCAACGATGAGCGACCGCACGGAGAATTGTGATTCAATGTCAGTGTCAAGTTTGCTAAGCGAAATACATAAAATAGAGATGAATGTATGTATGTACATGGAGATGTGAAGTGTGTAGCAAACAAATGGGTTACCTGTAAGAGCAACAACAACAGCAAGCGTAACACATAAAACAACTAATTGCATACAAAGCATGGATACCTGCATATATATGTTTTATGTACATACATATGTATATGTATACTATGTAGATATGCAAGCAAAACTTAATGAGCAGTGAAGCAAACTGAAGGCCACCAAGAAAAGTGTGCGTGTATTGGTGCAGCTGGTGAAGGCGATTGTGAAGAAAAGGAAATAACAATAGGAAATAAGTTAAATTAGACAAGAAAAAAATCAGTCTACATACATACCTAATTTAAAGAAAACATAAATATATTAAGAAGCTTTAAAAACAACGCTTTGACTATTGTAAAGCAACAACGAGGCGTTGCGCAAAATAGACCCCATATGTACTACACATGAATGTATGGATGTATGTAAGTACATATGGACAGCGAGTAGTAAAATTGAATCCCACATCCCAGAAAACCACTGAGCAGGTCCTTGACCAGTCAAAGAGAGTGAACCTGTCGTTAACGATAAGCTTTTCATTAGTCAAAATTAGAGACCGTAGTTTTGTTCCCAAGAACGCTTCAAAACCAAAACCAAAATGAGAACAAAACTGTCCGGAACGCTATCAATGGGAATTATGTAAGAACAAAACCGCCGTGAAACGTTCCTAAAGAGCACCAAATGCCAAGAATATTTCGGGAACATTTCTAAGAGAACAAAATGGGAAGAAAGTCTCCGGAACGTTTTGGCAAAGAATTAAACGGGAACAAAAGTCTAAGAAACTTTCTCTCGAATAACAATTAGGGAACTAAAGCCTCAGGAACTTTCTGGCAGAGAACAAAACGGGAACAAACCTTCTTGAAACTATTTACGAATAAACTTTCTATGAGAGACAAGAGAAAGCCTCCGAGGAATCGTCCTTCTTTATGTGACGACGGAAAATATTTAAAGGGCTACAAAGATGCTTAAAGTCGAACGTTTAGCGTCCACACTCGTGACTGGTGCGGAAAGAGCAACACCATCTAAGGCACTGTATGTCCTACTAACTTTCTCCCGGTGGACCTACATAAAAATCAGGTCATAATCGCACTGCAATTAATATGAACAGTCCAAATAAGTAGCCAGTTACGGTCATGGTAAGATACTAACGGAAATTTTGGGGCTTCACGGATTGGCGCACTATGCACTTCTGCACCTGTTCTTATTACAGCGTTTACGAGCCTCCTAACTTCAAGGAAAGAGTGAAAACGAGACACTCTAAGGAGGGGCGAGTTCATCCATATATACTACACAGATGCCTCTAAGCTCGAAGGAAGGGTTGGTGAAGGTTTATACTCGAACACCAGGCGGAACTGATTCTAATTGATAGGGCCACAAAACCGGTAAAGTATGGTATGATATGCCATGTTTATACATATCTACACTTGCACTGAAAGCAGGCGGCAATCTAATATCTTACAAAGCAGTCTACAACTTCCATGGCAGCTGGAGATGGCAGAATGATTTCGCCCAAAGGTGTTATGGATTCCGGGATACTTATAAACTGCCAGGAAATTGTGGCCGCTGCCCAACGATAAACGGACTAGCCCACTACTGAGCTTAAATAAGCAGAATACCAGTTTGTTGATTGGTATCTGTAACAACAGGACACTGCCTAATAGGCGTACGATTACATGACATCTGTAGGAGTTGTCAGGATGAAGAAGAGGAAGAAACGATTCTGCACGTGTTGAGCCAGTACCCGGCTCTATCCAGATGAAGACTCTCCACTCTAGATACTCTAGATAGACAATTCTTCGATAACGTGGAAGGCCTTAGATGCGTGGAAATCAGGGATCTTCTAAAACTCCTGCAAAATGGTTTTAAGAGAGATTGAGAGTTGCTGACCCCACATTCGGCAACACAATGGATCTTGAGCCTAAGTGTGTCTAATAGACGACCGCGATAACTTAATTTATGTCCCACCGAACGACTATGTATGACGAGGTACACATAGCAAATAGCAATAAGTTCGATAGCAATAAAAGGAGTAACCTATAATCAGAATCAGGAAGAACCCCTACCAGCCGTTTGATACCAAATGAGGTTTCAAACAAGGCGACTCCCTATTGTGTTACTTTGATCTGATGGTGGAGTAGGTAAGTAACAAGAGCTGCAGAACTGCCGACGACATCGATAAATATAATCCGCTTGAATAAAGGGAACGTCTATTCCAACTTTTCCAATTTCGACAGAGAAGAAAATCGCGTGGCTCTGATGGTGAATGGGTACAAAACGAAGTATATTCTGTCATCAAACTAACAGTCAGAGCGCCAAAAACAGAAGTATGAAAGTTTGTATTAATCTGACTGGGACTGTACACTTGGGAAGATCTGGCTCGGCCAGGATGTTATGAAACTAGCGCTTAGACTTATCTTTGTACCCAGCAGGTAAAAGTAGCGGTACTGGATTTACCACGTACCGGACACACAGAGAACATATCGGTCTAGGATGCGGTTCTTTTGTATGAAAACGACCGGCAACTTTAACATGAAGTTGTCATTGGAGGTAACAGATTGCCATGGTGGAATTCGGGACAGAACCTGAGATAACTAAATTCAAGTGCTGCGCGTGATTGTTAAGAAATCTAATTAAACGATTTTTTAATGTAAACCAACATCCTGACTGTCCGTCTTGCATTCTTGGCGATTTTAATCTTACCTCGCTGTTTTTTTTTTTTTGAATTTCATGTGGCTGCTTTTCGAAATGGGTCCCAAGTTGATTGCACCTATACCGATTTTTCCAAGGCGTTTGATAAGGTATCACATTCAATCTAGCTTGACAAGTTAAGAATCACTGGTTTTTGTTCGGTTTTATTAAGTTGGTTAAAGTCATATCTTTAATGAAGAACCTTTTTTGTTGAAATTCAAAACTACAGGTCTTCTCCTGCCTCGGTATCCTAAGGCAGTTTCCTTGAACCGCTGTTGTTGGCCTTGTATATCAAACGATCCTGCTTCAATAGTTCTGATTACTTACTGTATGCCGATGATATAAAACTGTTTCGTAAAACTAATTCTGTCACCCATTCGTGTTTACTTCTATTCTGTTAAGGACCTTACTGATCTTAGTGTCATTTTGGACGCAGGATTCACCTTTGTTAACCATGATAATGTAAAACGAAAATGCACGTAGATGGGTTCAAGCGAGTTAGTAACTTTGAATCTGATATTCACATGAAGAAAAGAGGTTATGAAAATGCGAAACGGTGGTGAGAAGAACCGAAAAAATTAAATAAAAACTTAAATTATACATATAGATACGTATTAATCAGCCCTATTCTGCATTTCGATTACGTTCCCGCATTCCGCTCCGCTAAAATCGAACTTAGGTATTCTGCGTTACGATCGAATCGAAAGAAGAAGAGGAAGAGAGAAAACATCTTTCGAAATCAGCTGTTTGCCTAGGAATGTGTGAAATCGAAACAAAACAAAGCGAAATTTGCCACCAAATTATAGCAGCTTCAGAAGTTAAATTTTTAAATATATTAAAATAACTAAATATATCTTACATTATTGTAAATTTAAAATACATTATTGTAATTTAAAATAAAAATAAAACTCAGCGAAATACCTTAACGTCTGTATCACCGCTTAACCAAGTAGTGGCCGCGATAAGATTTTTTGCGGAGGGCAGTTACCAACACGGAGTTGGTGCAGACAAGAATGTCGGAATGGGCAATCGTGTCAACGTCACTGTCCAAATTTCTTGAAGCTTAAAGCAACGAAAGCTTTGTCCTGAATGGATAAAATTTGAGCAGACTGAAGAGGAAAAAATACAAGCAAAACAAGAGTTTTATGGAAGGCTGGCTTTTCAAAGGTCATCATGTGCGTTAATGGCACGCATATAAGAATAATGAAGCCACATGAAGAAGATTTTCTGTATTACAACAGAAAAGGATTTTTTAGCATTAACGCTATGGTGGTGAGCATTATTTAAATTACATCAGTGCCGTAATTTGATTTAATTGGTTTCTTAAAATTTAATTTCTATTTTCAGGTGTGCGATAACAAAATGCGTATAAGAAGCATTGATGCGAGATATCCCGGATGCAATCACGAATCGCATATATGGGGTGTGAGTAAGCTGCGATTTTATATGGAACGGCAATCCGTTTCTCCAAAGGTATGGCTTCACGCATGTTTGTAACCTTTTTTCGTAGGTCTGGTAGAAGCTCACATAATTTATAGAAATAAAAGTTATATTATTTTTTGTACTTTATTGTATTAAACTGTCGACGTCAAATAAAACAGTGCATGAATAAATCGTTTTGTACTTAGTACAAGTCTGGTCATTTTCGAACTAGTTCGGTTTCTGTCAGGAAATTCTAGTTGTAAACTAGTATTTTTCCTGACTAGTTTGGGATTTCACTGCAGGGTATATATCACGGTGGGTAATATGTTTTTAATAAAAACAAAAAAAAAAAAAAGAAAATAAAAATTACAAAATTTTAGGTGCAAGTTTCACAATGAAGTTCTTCAACATGTTTCAAGTCGCTAATCAAGATTATAATGCTAATCAATATTATGGTCTGGATGCTCCAGCCTTAGCATCTCCATCTTAATTTCAATTTTCCGCTTTAAAAGTTCCTCCTTAATTTTGTTGTGCCGTTGCTCTTCCTGCAGTTGCTTTGCTGCAGTGTCCGCCACCTTTTCAAGAGAACGGTTCATGCGCCGCAAATGTGTCGCCATTTCCTCCATTCTATTCATGGCAGCTTCATTGAATTTCTTTGTGTCGGCATAAAATTCCTTTTGAAATTCAATTTGTTCTTTAAGTAACAAAAGAATTGTCCTCCTTTCTCTCCTTCATTCTCGGTGTTAGCTGCTTGCTCTACTGGTTGAAGGTAAACCATCTGGATCCACCGAAGAAGCAGAAATATCCATTTCAGTTTCAGTGTCGTGTTGGACCTGAGCACTATCTCCAAAATCCAGCACACCTCTAATTCCACTTGTGCACGTTATTAAGCCCGTCAATTCTATAACTTGTTCTTCAAGTGGTGCTATGCGCTGCAAAGGGCATTGACCTCCACCGGCGCTCATCATTTCCTTTTTGTTGTTTGATAGCTCGCGTTTTATGTAGCGTTTCCAGTCAATCCATACCTGTAACAAACCATTCCATCTATTTTACAAATTCCTGTCACTTTCAGTAATACCTAACCTTTCTCCGTGCATTGGAGTCCTTAGATGGGGGACCTAGTGCATTTAGAGAAGTTGCGACCTCGTTCCAAAACGCCTGCATTTCTTCTGTGGGTCGCTGTTGAAAACCCTGCGCTATGTCTCTTTTGGCTGCCATCATTTCAGCCAATTTCTCATATTGCCCTGATGTTGTTGTTTTGGACCTATTAACATTACAAAAAAATCGCGAAAACGCACATTTTTACAATCTTCCCGAATAATTTTCACTTAAATTTTTCAACAAGTGAAATTTGCAACTTACAAATCGTAACTACGATCGAAATGTAGAATAGCTAGAATCGAAAAATTCGAACATTGATCGAAACGAAACGGATCGCAGAATACCAAAGTTGGCAAACGGAGAAAATTTCGATTCGAGTCGAAATGCAGAATAGGGCTGACTAGTAAAATATTGTATGGGGGAAAAATCTGTCACGTCCGATATGCCACGGAAGTTATCACATTGTTATTGAAAGTAAAACCAACAAGAAATTGCTCCTGATTAAATATCTAGTGGTTGTAGACCTGACCTGAAACCATTTCAGTTTTTCTCAAGTCTGTTGTAGTCTCCTTTTCATAGATTTTCTAAAAAGACCAGTGTTCCAAGCGCACCTGATTTTTTTGGCAACCAAAGGACAGTGCAAAAGCTACACGACGGCATTAAATAAAGGCAATGTCAAGTCTGACATCATGGAATCAGCCCTATGTTATACTCTTCGGAAGGCATATAGGAATCTAGCCTTTCTAAGAAGGCATGCGAAGGCTTTTAAGGATCTTTATATTAGAAAAACTGTCTTTAACTCTCTTGTTCGTTGAAAGCTAAAATGTGCCCGTATTATCTGGAGTCATATTTATAATTGCCATTCACTTCGTATTTAACGGGCCCAGATGAAATTTATTCAGTTTGCGCTTTAGCCGCTTCTTTTTTCTGACCCTCTTTCGCACTATACAGCTCGTTGCAAGCATATGGATTTAAATTCATTGGAGTACAGAAGACGTGTCCTTTTTCCCTTATGATTCTTTATGTTTCTCATTACGCTGTCTTAAATGCCTTCTGCTGAAGCTAATTATTGGGGTCAAGCTCCGATATGGAGGTCTGTTACTGAACTTAATAAACTTAAAAAAAAACGTTAAAATTAGAATTATCTTACCATAGCCAATCATTCAGAAGTGTAATTAAATGTCGGTATTCCTAGTATAGTTCTTTATTTTTCAGCTATTAATTTTATTCTAGTCTGTTAGATTTTTTGTAATCATAAACACAATAAACACTGAATTGCACTGAATGCAACCAAAAGTGTTTTGGTCCAGTCCTTGATTCCTACGTCCCAGTACCCTGTATAAATGGCCGTTAGTCCTGTTTAATTTGATAAGAAAATCAATGCGTTTTGCGCAGTAGGTAGGCCACAAACTCCTGCAGACCCAACGTGATTGTAGATCTTTCCTAATTGTGGTAGCCACCTTTTTCCAGTGCTGAGAGATGCGGCCCTTGATATAACTCAAGAGGAACAAGAACCTCCTCTGCCTCGGAGACATCCAGAGCTGGCCCATTCCTGGCCAGCCTATCATCCATCTCTTTGCCATGAATTCTGCTGTGCCTCGGCACTCAGATATTGGTTGGAGAGTAGCTGTTTATTGCCCATGCAATCTTCTCCCGCGTGATAATATCGTTGAAATTTATGGAACTATTTATACTTAGTAGTTTGGCATAAAAGTGGAAGCAAGATGCGTATTTGAAAGAAACGTGAAATTTTCCTTTAGTCAATCAATTAAAGTACTTAGAATGCACAAAGGTCTCATTTCCACTTAACTTGAAAAATACGCAGGGTTGCATGGAGAACAAGTTGAAAACTAATAGCGTTTTCTTTTCTCAAAAAAAGTTCTGCCCTTTTATATGGGAACTCTTGCTTTGCGTTGCCCTGAAACCTGAGAAAATGTTGCGTTCTTTATATGAGAATGAAACAGAAAATATACTACTCCATCACAATTTATTTATAGAACTTAATAAAGCTGAATTATTCACTTGGCCTGCAAGTCTTTAACAATTTTAAAGCAAAACACTTATTTCTGATAGGGAAAATAATTGCATTTTTACAAGATCAAATTAAAAATCAACCATGCAACTCTCACCCTCACGTTTATTTGAGGGCAGAAAAGGCAGCACTTTCGCCGGATCAGAGCGCAACCTGCTGAGAAAAGAACACGACGCCTTGTGAAAGGGGTGAGAAAAGAACATGAAAATGTGACAGCGCTAACACAAGGCAGAATATTTAAGTGCAGCCTTTTTTCGAGAAAAGAAAACGCTATAAAAGTTGGCTGGCGACTAACTTAGGTGACAGCGATTAGTTGAACGACCGTTAACGCCAGGACTAAAAGTAGCCTCTAAAATACGGCACTTAAACACGCGTGAAGCTCAAAAAGTCACTGACTTATGAATACTATGTAATTGTCATAAATTTCAGTTAATATTAATTAAGTTCTAGCACACAAGTTTGTATAAAACTTATAGCTAAACGAAAAAAAATAACAATAAAGACAATAATTCATTCAACCATGTACTTGACTATTAATAAATACGTAGATAAGCAATCGCCGTAACCTAGAAACGATTAGGAATACAAAAGCACAATAAACCATAGGAATAACGGAAAAAATTAGCTAGGCATTGCGTGCGCTACACCAACAATATACGCGCCCATCTGTTTTTTGTGCGTTTCGCATTTTTATTTCGATGCGAGGTTTATTTAGATACTTGTTTTTTTTTTTTAGCAGACGCCAAACGACAGCGCTACTTTCATTTGACCTAATTTTGTGCGTATCGCATGTGTGCGAATTTCGCATTCGCGAATTTTTTGCAACTTTTTGCCAAATGAATGTTTTTGGTATTGCTGTTGCTTTAGGTTAGTGCTGTGCGTAGGGACGGGGGGTTTTTTATCTCTTTAATTCATACATACATATGTATGTACATATGGACATTAGAGCGGTTCATAAAAACACTCTTTTTGGAAATTCATAAACGCTACATCAAAATATTGTGGTTTGTGAGAGAAATCGAGACACGTATTTTTTTTATTTTGAAAAAAAAAAAATTTAGAGGTCGCGCTGGTCGGTTTTTTATTAAAACGCTGATGTTTTATTTTTTTGTTTTCGTGAGATGTTAAAGGGCAGCTAAAAATGTGGTTTTTACAAATAATTACTCTGGTATTATTGGGGAACATTCCTTTAATTAAATACCTGCCTTGGGCAGTTAGAATGGGCCTAGCTCCCGAAAGTATGCTTTCGAAAAGAGACCGCTAAAATTAAGTCGTTGATACTGAACGATTTACGCATTATCATGGGTTGGAACTTGTTACAAGGGGGTTTCTGGAGTTGGTAATTGCGAATCTGAAGTCAGTTTTTTTAAATTCAATATGCCGGGTCCAAAATGGCGAAACATTTTTTAAAAAAATTATTGGATTTGGTCGAAACCCGGTAGTCCGGAATTCTAGAGGTCGCGTTTTTTATAAAAAACCAACCACCGCGACCTCTAAACTTTTTTTTTTTTCAAAATAAAAAACACGTTTAAATTTTTGTATCACAAATAACCATAATTTGAGGTAGCGTTTATGAATTTAAAAAAATATAAAAATTTAGAGAACCACTCTAATCCACATATGTTTGTATGTAAGCAATTATTGTGTACATATTTTTATGTTAATATGTATTCGCAAGCCCCTTGAAAATAGGTGAATTTTAAGATAAAAAGAGTAATAAAAAATACGAAAATATTAAAGGCTAAAATAGACAGCTCAGAACGGTAACTGTGAGTTGGGCTGTAAATTTTTTTTCCTTTTTTTCGAGTCAGAGTTTTCTTAATTAAAGCAATTCGCGAAATTAGACGCGCAACAAAAAATGAACGTGCAGAAAAAAA